TAATAATAATAATACAATTTAAAGTTCTGATGATTTAATTTTAAAAACATAATAACAATTTCTGCAAATGTATATTTATGCTTTACTCTCAAAACTACCTATCTTTATCATTAATCAATTCCTTGCTAAGGTTTCTGGTCCAAACTGTTTTCTCAAAGCCCAAACCAGTTTGGGTAATTTGGGTTTAGTATTTTTTATAAACATAAGCATTAAAAACTATACCAATCAACTTAATTTAACTTAAACAACTTTAAAGTAGTTTGGACTTATAAAAAAGTAATTTTTGCACAAAGTGTTTTGGCAATTTTAGCTACTAATTGAGAAAGTTTCAGCCAGAAACCTTATTCCTTGTTAAGCAATATTTTTCTTTAGGTTTCACTCCATGTTCTGATCATGTTTCTTGGTGGGTGCTCTCTCATACTGTTACTCCCTACTCAAGCCAGGTACATTTTCCAAACTTCACTAAATAAAAAATCTTATTATATATCACCTTGCTAAAAGAAAAAAATAGAGATAAGTATAAAATGAGGGAAAATAATTATACACAGGATTAGTATGAATCCATTGTTGGGACCCTATAAAAAATTTGACATGGAAATGTATGGAAAACTGTATGGAATTTGTATTGAATTTTGCCTGAAATTTGCATTTTTCCATACATTTTCTGTACCAAATTTTTTATAGGGAGTTAGGTTTATTATTCCCTAAATGGTTAATCGGCTATTGATAGCTGATAAAAATTTTTCTGATATAAAAATTTTTTTCTGAGGGCATCACTTTCTAATACAAATGATCTTTGAGATTCAGCCGATTAATCTATAAATAAAAATCCAGTTGTTGTCCTTATGGTTTTTGTAAAATCTTCTTTAAAAGTTGGTCGATTGATTGTTTTTACTTTGCTGATCGTTAAATTGACCAATAAGAATGATCAAAACCTTGATTTGTGTTACCATTAAAATATACTCTGACTGTTTAAGAGATAATAGATATTTAAATATGAATACATATTCTGTTCCATTTTCTATGACTATTTGTCCAGTTACTTGCAAAATACAATTTTTGTTAAACTCAATTATTAGAGGCTCTGACCCTCCAAGGTAACCTTTAAATAAAATTTCATTATAATTATTATTTTCAACATCTCTATAAATGGCAGAACCATCAATTGTTTTACTGTTGATGGATACATTTTTAATAAAAATGAATGAAATAAATATTGAGCACATTTTTATTTTTATTTTTAACCAAAACCAATTTGCCAAGTAGAAATAAAGTGAGGAAAAATTAAAGATTCTGTTGAACAAAATCATGAACAAAATAGAAAATGAATTAAAAGAGCAGGATAATTTTTTCAATATTTATTTTTTTAAAACCTTTATATACCTCTCAATTGATATATAATATGGATTCATTGACCATTTAAAAATGATTAGTCAATTGATATATATATGGATTCATTAAGAAACATAAAATTTTTATTTGAAAATATTACTCAATTGATATATATATATGGATTCACTAGAAACATAAAAATTTCAATTTATGTGTGAAAAAAAAATTTTTATCATGTAATATTAAATATAAAGTAATTAGTAAATTTAAAAAATAATTTGCTTCCCAAAGACAAAGATCATTTTGACAACAATCGGCCAGCACAAGAAAAAATCATTTTCAATAACATCAACCTTGTTTTTTTAATTCCATGCTTCCCAAAAAATTATGTTTATAAAAAACATTGTTTTAAGCTGCTTAATATTAAATATTAAGTATTTAGTATTTAGTATTAATATTTAATATTTAATATTTAAATTAAGTACTTCTATACAATGCTTTCAATTTTGTAAAACAGTAAAATCCTTTTTTGTAAGCTAAATTCCATTTATTTATTCATTATATTACTTTTTTTATTTTAAAAAAATCAATGATCATTCCAATGTATATAAGATCTAGATGATTGTGTAACAATTTTATATATCAATAGATAATATTAATATAAGCATAGATTGTACTTGTAAAACCAAGGTTTGTTTGTTATATTCACTCATTAATTTCAATGTATATAAGATCTAGATGATCATGTAACAATATATTAATAAATAAAGCATAGATTGTACTTGTAAAAACCAAGATTGTTTTTTATATACAAGCTAGTAATAGGCTACTTAACTTTTAAACATTTCTATTGTAGTGTTGCTATGATAGTTTCATTTCGTCAATTAATATTATAATAACCTATAAATAATTATAAATCAGTCTCTTATAATTAAAGTCAAAATTTCTAACACAACCTTTCAAGTAGTTATAAGTGACTTTGTAGGGAACACTTTGGCACAATTGTTGCCACTGAATTTGTTTTAGTCTGCATACTAGTTGGAAGAAAATCTTAAAATAAGTGTGAAGAAAAGAAATGCTTCTGACCT